ATTGACCGATGGTTTGACAACGTTGATAATTTGGGTAATAAATAAATGGACGACGCTTTGCAAAATGAACCTAACCCTTCCATTCCTGATCGTTCGTGTATTAGCTATGTTGTTTTAAGATTATGTTCAGATGAGTGCTTTAAACAAACACAAGAACAGATCCCTGTTCTGAAAACTGCCAACCAAAATGTCGTTGTGGTGTTTCCAATGACCTGCTCTTCCTTACAGGTGCAAGCCAGACCTCCACCCAAGGTTCCGCTGGTTGAAGAGATCGGTCAACGCCACAGACTTCGTCAACGACCACAAAATAGGGACACTCGCTAGGAAAGGCGACTTTGACCTTACTCTCACCGGGGTTAATGGCTGGCAGAAGGTGTTTGAAGCGACCGACGTCCCGACAGCAAGAGCAATGGGAGGTCAAAGATCTCCTGCAGACAAGAGCGAGACAGAAGACCCGATTATTAACGAAGAAGAGTCAACTAAATCTGGCTATCTGCCGTCACATCCACCTACCACCAGCCCGCTATCACACCTGACACCCGACCTTCTTACGACGACCACCGAACACGACCACAGAGACACCAACATCTCTCCAACCTTCCCAAGGCCATCTCCATCCACTGGCCTTCCGCTGAGGAAAAATTCTGTCCCTACAGGTATCCAAGAAGCCATCACATTAGGGAAGGAACTTAGAGGTCCTCTCGTTGATTTCTACAGGCTTCTACGAACAGAAAATGAGGCACATGAGCAGATAATGCAGGAGGGAGAGTGGCCTTCCTTGGTGAGAGTTCCCAGAAATGTAGCGGAGAAGGAGAAGAAAGACAAGAATCGCAAGAGGAGAAATAAATGGAAGAAAAAGGGAAAGCGAGGTAAGACCTAGACAAGTTTAGCTCTCACACGCCACATAATTACACAATTCACCAATAAACAACATGTTTAAGTGGTAATTGAGAGCCATGCAAATATTGTTGATTTAAAACACTAAACCTCAGATTGCACTAAAATCACTAAATCTAGCTTTGTTTTTCCAATGTAACGTTAGGTCTCACTCCTCTGGTCAAATGTAATACCAGAAACCTCTCTTCTTTGTTTAATGTAACACCCGGATCATCTACTGTTGTCAAATGTAACACATGTAACATTATGTTGAAAGTAATGGGAGGAAGGAATGATGTCCAATCACTTGGGCTGGACGGCAGAGCGATGGTCTTGCTTCATGCAGGTCGGCGTTCAGTCCCCGACCGTCCAAGTGGTTGGGCACCATTCCTTTCCTCCCCGTCCCATCCCAAATCCTTGTCCTGACCCCTTCCTTAAGTGCTATATAGTCGCAATGACTTGGCGCTTTCCCCCTAATAGTTCGCTTCCCTTGCTAAACGTAGCATTTGGCTCCTCTCGTCATGTTTCCTGTGTCATCAGGTCCCTCACGTCATGTTTCCTGTGTCATCAGGCTCCTCACCTCATGTTTCCTGTGTCATCAGGCTCCTCACCTCATGTTTCCTGTGTCATCAGGTCCCTCACCTCATGTTTCCTGTGTCATCAGGCTCCTCACCTCATGTTTCCTGTGTCATCAGGCTCCTCACCTCATGTTTCCTGTGTCATCAGGTCCCTCACCTCATGTTTCCTGTGTCATCAGGCTCCTCACCTCATGTTTCCTGTGTCATCAGGTCCCTCACCTCATGTTTCCTGTGTCATCAGGCTCCTCACCTCATGTTTCCTGTGTCATCAGGTCCCTCTCTCCCTCACCTAGTAACACCAGGTCCCTCTCTCCCTCACCTAGTAACACCAGGTCCCTCTCTCCCTCACCTAGTAACACCAGGTCCTTCTCTCCCTCACCTAGTAACACCAGGTCCCTCTCTCCCTCACCTAGTAACACCAGGTCCCTCTCTCGCTCACCTAGTAACACCAGGTCCTTCTCTCCCTCACCTAGTAACACCAGGTCCTTCTCTCCCTCACCTAGTAACACCAGGTCCTTCTCTCCCTCACCTAGTAACACCGGGTCCTTCTCTCCCTCACCTAGTAACACCAGGTCCTTCTCTCCCTCACCTAGTAACACCAGGTCCCTCTCTCCCTCACCTAGTAACACCAGGTCCTTCTCTCCCTCACCTAGTAACACCAGGTCCTTCTCTCCCTCACCTAGTAACACCAGGTCCCTCTCTCCCTCACCTAGTAACACCAGGTCCCTCTCTCCCTCACCTAGTAACACCAGGTCCTTCTCTCCCTCACCTAGTAACACCAGGTCCTTCTCTCCCTCACCTAGTAACACCAGGTCCTTCTCTCCCTCACCTAGTAACACCAGGTCCTTCTCTCCCTCACCTAGTAACACCAGCTCCTTCTCTCCCTCACCTAGTAACACCAGGTCCTTCTCTCCCTCACCTAGTAACACCAGGTCCTTCTCTCCCTCACCTAGTAACACCAGGTCCCTCTCTCCCTCACCTAGTAACACCAGGTCCTTCTCTCCCTCACCTAGTAACACCAGGTCCTTCTCTCCCTCACCTAGTAACACCAGGTCCTTCTCTCCCTCACCTAGTAACACCAGGTCCTTCTCTCCCTCACCTAGTAACACCAGGTCCTTCTCTCCCTCACCTAGTAACACCAGGTCCCTCTCTCCCTCACCTAGTAACACCAGGTCCTTCTCTCCCTCACCTAGTAACACCAGGTCCTTCTCTCCCTCACCTAGTAACACCAGGTCCTTCTCTCCCTCACCTAGTAACACCAGGTCCTTCTCTCCCTCACCTAGTAACACCAGGTCCTTCTCTCCCTCACCTAGTAACACCAGGTCCTTCTCTCCCTCACCTAGTAACACCAGGTCCTTCTCTCCCTCACCTAGTAACACCAGGTCCTTCTCTCCCTCACCTAGTAACACCAGGTCCCTCTCTCCCTCACCTAGTAACACCAGGTCCTTCTCTCCCTCACCTAGTAACACCAGGTCCTTCTCTCCCTCACCTAGTAACACCAGGTCCTTCTCTCCCTCACCTAGTAACATCAGGTCCTTCTCTCCCTCACCTAGTAACACCAGGTCCTTCTCTCCCTCACCTAGTAACACCAGGTCCCTCCCTCCCCGCCTCAGACTCCCCTGTGGTACCGCACTGTGAGCCTATCCCTAGTGAGCCGTACCTGAGGGTGGAGGTGGTACGTAAGGGTCGAGACAGCAACTACACGTACTCGGCCGGAGCACGTATCAAGGTAACGTGTTTGCACGGCTACGGACTCAACATCGGCAACCGTACGGCCAAGTGCGCGCGGCGGGGCAAGTGGAAGCCCATGAAGCCTGAGTGTGTCACTTGTGAGTATGAGTATGTCCGGTTGTGCCTCTTAGAATATTATAGTTTGCGTTGCATTCCGTTTTCTTTTGAGTGTTTACCTTCACTTCTCCATTCTCAAGCTAAAATACATTGTTTTTGTTATTTCTTGCATGTTATGTCCCCCATCCCTGAAGATGTCCTTGTCCCCCATCCGTGAAGATGTCCTTGTCCCCCATCCCCGAAGATGCCCTTGTTCCCCATCCCTGAAGACGTCCTTGTCCCCCATCCCTGAAGATGTCCTTGTCCCCCATCCGTGAAGATGTCCTTGTCCCCCATCCCTGAAGATGTCCTTGTCCCCCATCCGTGAAGATGTCCTTGTCCCCCATCCCCGAAGATGTCCTTGTCCCCTATCCCCGAAGATGTCCTTGTCCCCCCATCCCTGAAGATGTCCTTGTCCCCCCATCCTTGAAGATGTCCTTGTCCCCCCATCCCTGAAGATGTCCGTGTCCCCCCATCCCTGAAGATGTCCTTGTCCCCCATCCCTGAAGATGTCCTTGTTCCCCATCCCTGAAGACGTCCTTGTCCCCCATCCCTGAAGATGTCCTTGTCCCCCATCCCTGAAGACGTCCTTGTCCCCATCCCTGAAGATGTCCTTGTCCCCCATCCCTGAAGACGTCCTTGTCCCCATCCCTGAAGATGTCCTTGTCCCCCATCCCTGAAGACGTCCTTGTCCCCATCCCTGAAGATGTCCTTGTCCCCCCATCCCTGAAGATGTCCTTGTCCCCCCATCCCTGAAGACGTCCTTGTCCTCATCCCTGAAGATGTCCTTGTCCCCCCATCCCTGAAGATGTCCTTGTCCCCCCATCCCTGAAGATGTCCTTGTCCCCCATCCCTGAAGATGTCCTTGTCCCCCATCCCTGAAGACGTCCTTATCCCCCATCCCTGAAGACGTCCTTGTCCCCATCCCTGAAGATGTCCTTGTCCCCCATCCCTGAAGACGTCCTTGTCCCCATCCCTGAAGATGTCCTTGTCCCCCATCCCTGAAGATGTCCTTGTCCCCCATCCCTGAAGATGTCCTTGTCCCCCATCCCTGAAGATGTCCTTGTCCCCCATCCCTGAAGATGTCCTTGTCCCCCATCCGTGAAGATGTCCTTGTCCCCCATCCCTGAAGATGTCCTTGTCCCCCATCCGTGAAGACGTCCTTGTCCCCCATCCGTGAAGACGTCCTTGTCCCCCATCCCTGAAGATGTCCTTGTCCCCCATCCCTGAAGATGTCCTTGTCCCCCATCCGTGAAGACGTCCTTGTCTCCCGTCCGTGAAGATGTCCTTGTGTCCGTGTGTTACAGTGCCATGTACAGTGCCCGAGGCCCCCCACGGGCAGTTCGAGTTCAACGGGGTGGCGGCGGGGGAACGAGCCATCATCAGCCATGGCGAAGTGGTCAAGTTCTCGTGCCAGGGTGGCTACACCGTCCTGGGTTCGGATACCATGAGGTGCTGGTATGGGTCCTGGGCGGTCACCGGCAAGAACCCAGAGTGCATACCAAGTGAGTTTTAATGTAATTGCTTTTTGTTTCAACACTGAGTTTAAGCTCGTGGGCTTCGCTTTTGTCAACTTGTCGGGCATTTATACTCCCGACTGTTTGATTTTTTGTTTGTATAATTACGTTAGATTTTAGTTCGTTCCACTTTTCTTATTCTGTGTTATCGATTCTCCTGATTATTTTGAATGTCTGGATCATGTACCTCATGATCTGGATAAGCACCTCCAAAGGATACCTGATCAACCAGGCTGTGATTCATACGTCAGGCTGCGAGCAGCCGCGTCCAACAGCCTGGTTGATCAGGCTGTTGGACGCGGCTCAACCAGGAGGTTGTTGGTCGATCAACCAGGAGGCCTGGTCGACGACCGGGCCGCGGGGACGCTAAGCCCCGGAAGTACCTCAAGGTAACCTCAAGGTAACCATGTCCTCTCTAATTCTTCTTTCCTCCAGTTTCAATCAGCTCAGTTTTTTTCTATCCGCGTAGCTCAGTCCCGTCAATTCTTATGCCAGTCTGGTGGCAATTCCCTGCATTTCCATAATTGTTTGAGATACGAGTTCCACACTGGTGCCGTGCTGCGTCCTCCAACACTGGTCGGGGAGTTCCACACTGGTGCCGTGCAGCCTCCTCCAACACTGGTCGGGGAGTTCCACACTGGTGCCGTGCTGCCTCCTCCAACACTGGTCGGGGAGTTCCACACTGGTGCCGTGCTGCCTCCTCCAACACTGGTCGGGGAGTTCCACACTGGTGCCGTGCTGCCTCCTCCAACACTGGTCGGGGAGTTCCACACTGGTGCCGTGCAGCCTCCTCCAACACTGGTCGGGGAGTTCCACACTGGTGCCGTGCAGCCTCCTCCAACACTGGTCGGGGAGTTCCACACTGGTGCCGTGCTGCCTCCTCCAACATTGGTCGGGGAGTTCCACACTGGTGCCGTGCTGCCTCCTCCAACACTGGTCGGGGAGTTCCACACTGGTGCCGTGCTGCCTCCTCCAACACTGGTCGGGGAGCTCCACACTAAATACTTAGCCTAAAATGTATGTTATACATCGTTAATATATACAACACCTCACCCTTCTCCTCCTCCTCCCTATCGACTGTCAAACACCAAAATCGAGCATCTATACCATCATCTACCCAGATAAGTGCTTGTATTCAAACAACCTATTTTGCGGTTACCTTGTGCTGGTTCCGAGGATCAATGTCCCCGCGGCCCCGTTCTCTGGTTGGTGGTCTGATCAACCAGAATGTTGGACGCGGCTGATCAGTTATTCCTTGGAGATGTTTATCAAATTCTCTTTTAAAGTTCGTGAAACGTTGGTCAGTTATGGCTGATATGTGTAGAGGGAGAGTGTTGAACAGCCTTGTGCCTTTGATGTTAACAGAGTTCTCTCTCAGCTTAACTTTTGGATTTCTGCTTTTCAAAGCGGGTGTTTTGCACTTCCTGCCATATTTACTTATCTCATGTAGTGTTATTTCCATGTGTGGATTTGAAACAAGCCACTTCAATATTTTCCAAGGGTAAATTATTATGTATCTTTCTCGTCTGCTCTCTAGAAAATGCAGATTTAAAGATTTTAATCAGTCCCAATAATTTAGATGTTTTATTTAGTGGATTCTAGCAGTAAAGGACCCTTTTAAGATCTCCAGGTCAGCAATTTCTTAAGCTTAGAATGGGGTATTGTGATGAGATCTTCCGATCTTATTACTCTTATGATAACCTTATTTTGATGATTACTCTCAGGTATTTTGATTTGCTTTTTCGTTCTATAATGTGATTTGACAACCTTTTACCTGTGGTTTGTGTTTTTATGTTTTCGTTTTCACCATTCCGCAGGAACTGGAGCTTTTCTTCATTAAACAATATTTTACGTGTCCCGTGGAACGACCTGATTTACATCAGTTTGGAGGTTTGCTGTGTCCTCTAAATTGTCTGCTCGCATCAAGATTCTAGTGTCATCTGTGAAGGATGATGCGGTACTATAGTTTGGGTCCTTGTCTTGGGGTCTGTTTATTAGGAATTAAAGGATCCATCTTCTAACTTCGCCAGTAATTCCTTGCGAGAGCATTTTATGTGCAGTAACACCATTGACACACGTCGAAATCTTTCGCGAAATCTGTGTATGTTGTTTTGCATATCTTCCATGGCAAGAGGGCCATGTCATAGTGGTTTATCAGTGATGAGATGCAGGAGTACCCTGTTCTGAAACCATGTTGTCTAGGGTTATGTTGACGTTGAGATTCCATGTAATATGTTATCTAACTTCTTAGCACTTTTTCAAAGATTTTTATGTGTGATGTTAGTCTATTGATCTATAATTGTTTGCCTCTTTTATGTATGTCAGGCACAACCCCAGTAGCCAAATGACATATCCATAATCATACTGTCTATGGCTACTTCGAAGTCCAGAGGGGTTAAGGTGACATCTGAGATATTATTTGATGTTGGTATCATATTGATGAAGAAGTCGTTTAGGTAAATCGATCTTCAGTGTGTTTAAGGGTTTACCGTAAACAGACTCGCTGGTCTCCAACCCAAGTGCGTCTCCCCAGACAACTGCGTGCTGCCAGACCTCGCCCATGGGAAGTACACAGCTGGCTACAAGAAGGGTCTGACGATCATCCACGGTGCGTCGGTGGGTTACGCCTGCGACGACGGCTGGCTGGTGGGGGTGGCCGACGTGTCGTGCTACCTGGGGCTCTTGAGCCCCGCCCCGCCGTCGTGCGTCGCCCCAGAACTCCCTGTGGTTGAGATTGTCAACAACGAGCTGGTCCCACCTATCAAGAGAGGACACTCGGACGGGCCTCACACAAGCGGTAAGGCAGGGCGGGGTGTTTGTGTCTCCCAGTGGAGACATGAGGACAGGTGCTTTACATATCTTGTGGGAGATGGGGCAGCATACAGGTGTTTGTGTCTTGCGGGAGATAGTGAGAATGATATTTGGGTGTCTTGGGGGCGGCACAAGGAATAAGATTTTGTTATTATGAAATTGAGAGTGACTTTTATCTGTCCATTCGGAGAGAGACGATTGAATACCCCTAGAGAGCCAAGTAGGAAAGGATCAAGTGTACCCCGGGGAGGATAGAGGAAGAGTCTCTGTGTCCTCTGATAGACAGGAAGGAAGATGTTTGTCACCTTGTGGAGATTAGAATGAGCACATCTTTGTCCCACAGTTAAATACAGATATATTTAATTGGGATTTAATTCGGGATTATTGACGGAAACGCTGTGGGTATTAGTGGCTTTAGACATAGTATGTATAAGCTCTATCTAGGAAATGCAACATTCTGCTTGTAACTCATCTAATATGTATATACTTTTACCTGAATTCCCATTTATTATTTATATGTAAGTTGGATGTAGCACATTCACGCTAAAAAAAAATATGAGTAACTGTGGTTAATTTTGTGTTGCTTTGGGACACTTGTCTGTGTGTGTGTGTTGCACAGATGGGTCCCCGGTCAGCCCCACAGCTGGTGACAAGACGCCGCTTGCTGTCACCTGTCGTGTCACGCGGCCCAAGGACTGTGTTGTGTGGATGCAATTGTTTCGTGTTTTGGTATAATAATAATAATAATGATATTATTAATAATATGATAATAATAAGCATACAAACATCACATTAAAGTTATATATTCACCAATGAGAGAATCCACTAGGCCTATAGGTGGACTAATTTCTACCACTACCGCATAGTGGTAGAGGACTGGCAATGCTGGAGACGAAAGTTCGAGCCTACTTATAGTCCTAGTGGATTTTCACAATGATAATAATAATAATATTATTATTATAGTAATGATAATAATAGTAATAATATATCTAAGAATATAACCCCCATGTCCCAAGTATATCAATGTGTACAAGTCTTAAGCATTGATAGGTACTTCAGGCTTAAATCAGTTCTATTTAACAAGACTGACAAGTGTGTGAAAAGACCTCCCTCCCTCTGCGAGAGCGAAGAGAGAGAGAGAGAGAGAGAGAGAGAGAGAGAGAGAGAGAGAGAGAGAGAGAGAGAGAGAGAGAGAGAGAGACAGACAGACAGACAAAGAGAGAGAGGGAGAAGGAGATGAGAGGCAGGATAGACCGGACAGGAAGGGAGAGAGAGAAGTGGAGGGGGGTAGAGACCATGTCAGACCATCCCCCTCCCTTCTCCCCCTTGTAGCGTGGCCCCCTCAACCCCCCCTCCTCCTCCTCCCCCCTAGCAGCGAATAACGGGGGTGACTTGACCTCAGGAGGTGACATCACTGACATGGGCTTGTCCTCCACCATGATGATGTCATGCAGCCCCCCCATCGTCGTCCCCGGCTCTCAGGGCTTCAAGAACGGCCAGCCCCTTGACGACAAGGATCAGAGGTAAGGCATGGGTGATGGGTGAGTGGTGATGGATGGTGATGGGTGAGTGGTGATGGGGGGTGTGGAGTGACGATGGGTGGGTGGTCATGGGTGGGTGTTGGGTGGTGATTGGTGAGTGATGGATGAGTGGTGATAGGTGAGTGGTAATGAGTGGGTGTTAGCGAGGTGATGGGTGAGTGGAGATGGGTGAGTGGTGATGGGTGAGTGGTAATAGGTGGTGATGGGTGAGTGATGATGGGTGAGTGGTGATGGGTGGGTGTTGGGTGGTGATGAGTGAGTGATGGGTGGGTGTTGGGTGGTGATGAGTGAGTGATGGGTGAATGATGGGTGAGTGATGGGTGAGTGAAGGGTAGGTGGTAATGGGTGAGTGATGGGTGGGTGGTGATGGGTGGGTGTTGATGGGTGGGTGTTGACGGGTGGGTGGTAATGGGTGGGTGGTGATGTGTGGGTGTTGAGTGGTGATGGGTGAGTGTTGGGTGAGCTCCCTGCTAAACCCCAGCCCTCCCTGCTAAACCCCTGCCTCCCTGCTAAACCCCTGCCTCCCTGCTAAACCCCTGCCTCCCTGCTAAACCCCTGCCTCCCTGCTAAACCCCTGCCTTCCTGCTAAACCCCTGCCTCCCTGCTAAACCCCTGCCTCCCTGCTAAACCCCTGCCTCCCTGCTAAACCCCTGCCTTCCTGCTAAACCCCTGCCTTCCTGCTAAACCCCTGCCTTCCTGCTAAACCCCTGCCTTCCTGCTAAACCCCTGCCTCCCTGCTAAACCCCTGCCTCCCTGCTAAACCCCTGCCTCCCTGCTAAACCCCTGCCTCCCTGCTAAACCCCTGCCTCCCTGCTAACCCCTGCCTCCCTGCTAAACCCCTGCCTCCCTGCTAAACCCCTGCCTCCCTGCTAAACCCCTACCTCCCTGCTAAACCCCTGCCTCCCTGCTAAACCCCTGCCTCCCTGCTAAACCCCTGCCTCCCTGCTAAACCCCTGCCTCCCTGCTAAACCCCTGCCTCCCTGCTAAACCCCTGCCTCCCTGCTAAACCCCTGCCTCCCTGCTAAACCCCTGCCTTCCTGCTAAACCCCTGCCTCCCTGCTAAACCCCTGCCTCCCTGCTAAACCCCTGCCTCCCTGCTAAACCCCTGCCTCCCTGCTAAACCCCTGCCTTCCTGCTAAACCCCTGCCTCCCTGCTAAACCCCTGCCTCCCTGCTAAACCCCTGCCTCCCTGCTAAACCCCTACCTCCCTGCTAAACCCCTGCCTCCCTGCTAAACCCCTGCCTCCCTGCTAAACCCCTGCCTCCCTGCTAAACCCCTGCCTCCCTGCTAAACCCCTGCTCCCTGCTAAACCCCTGCCTTCCTGCTAAACCCCTGCCTCCCTGCTAAACCCCTGCCTCCCTGCTAAACCCCTGCCTTCCTGCTAAACCCCAGCTCCCTGCTAAAGATAGTACCCATTTACCCCACCTGGTGGCTGGGGGAAAAGGGTGATATGCATTCTGCAGCTCTCGAAATTTTTCTCAAAATTTTCTTGCTGGAGCTTGACGGCTCCAGGCTGTTGTCTACGTGGGATGTGTGGTGACGATTTAGTCTTTTTCTTACACAGTATCCTGCCTACACACCCCCTCTCTCCCTACCCACACTATACCCACCCCTCTCTCCCTACCCACGCCATACCCACCCCATTCGACACTCCCTACACCCTTCAACTACAAACCCAACACCAAACACATTAATTTGTTCCGCGTTTGGAAAGAAATATTGTTTCTTGTTGTCTGGAAACAACTACCACTTCTCGTGACGTCACATTTTCCCCTTCTCAAGCCCCCTACTGTTGTAGGTTCCCCTCACCTGGTGTAGGTTCCCCCTCACCCGGTGTAGGTTCCCCCTCACCTGGTGTAGGTTCCTCCTCACCTGGTGTAGGTTCCTCCTCACCCGGTGTAGGTCCCCCCTCACCTGACCCAACTGGTGAAAGTACCACCTGCCTCTCTTGGTGAAAGCCTCCATTACCTTCCTGATCCAGGTGAAACTTCCCCCTCCCCCCTTTACCTTCCTCCCCCCCCCCCTTGTGAAGGTACACACCCCACCTGTCTCCCACCTGTTGAAGATCCCCTCCTTCCCCCCATCTTCGTCCCACTCCCCTCTCACCTGCTAATGGTCGTCCCTGACCTGCTCCCTCTGGTATAGATTCCCGGATGGCACCACCGTGACCTTCAACTGCAAGACCAACAACATTGGGGTCAAGACCACGTGGGACATGACGTGTATGGACGGGTCCTGGCAGGGGCTGCGCCCCCCGACCACCTGCGAGGCAGAGGGCGCAGACGAGGAGGAGAGCTACGGCAACAAGACCTGCTCCTGGAGTAAGACGGAGCCCAATCTTGTTACTTTCTTCAACGACCAAGAGATCACAGAGGAGGACGTCGTCTTCGAGCCGGGAGCGGAGCTGGTGAGTGGGATGGGGTAAGGGGTGGAAGGGTAGAAGGGGGGGGGGGTAGTGATGGGATGGTGTGAGGTGTGGGAAGGGGGGATGTGAGTTGCTGTGATGTAATGGTGTAGAGACAATGGGTTTAAGGGTCGTTTTTTTAGTATTCTATAACAGGCATTAGTCTCCTCTCCTAGGGCTTAAGCGGGCTTTATTACACACGTGTACCAGATGGGATACCTGACTGCAGTCACATACCTGACTGCAGTCACATACCTGACTGCAGTCACATACCTGACTGCAGTCACATACCTGACTGCAGTCACATACCTGACTGCCTTCACATACCTGACTGCAGTCACATACCTGACTGCAGTCACATACCTGACTGCAGTCACATACAATTTCTTAGTGCTCAAGTTGCCAATAGTGTTAAGTTTTCATTGCATTATCTGGCCCTGTTAGCCATTACATCACTGCGCTCAAGGGGGGATTAATATCAATCATAACCCGCTCCGTGGTCAGAGGGAGCGCTCAATTGGCACTCAGGTCATGCTCAGAGAGTGATCAACACGGTCAAGTGTCGCAGGTCACGTGGAAAGTGGCAGGGGATTATATCCCTAGTTTTGTTTATTTGGGTTATCTCTCCAAATTTTAATGTTATATAAATACAATCAATTTCTGTTTATTGGTAATCCTACTTATTGTTAGTGTATTCCGTAGACTGTTAATGTTTTAATTGATTTGTCCATCATTCCACTTTTCCCTCGTAATAAGCGCCGTAACTACTTCGTGGTACAGTTAACTTCGTGGCATCCTGCACATGGGTTCGAACCCTCATTAAGGCCGTGGTTGTGGATTTGTCCAAGCGCCACATTCTTGCAGTTATCTTAGTAACTTTTTCAGTTATCGTTTCCAGACCAACTCCTGCCCTCCTAGGAGCCGGTCGGCCGAGCGGACAGCACGCTGGACTTGTGATCCTTTGGCCCCGGGATCGATCCCGGGCGCCGGCGAAAAACAATGGGCAGAGTTTCTTTCACCCTATGCCCCTGTTACCTAGCAGTAAAATAGGTACCTGGGAGTTAGTCAGCTGTCACGGGCTGCTTCCTGGGGGTGGAGGCCTGGTCGAGAACCGGGCCGCGGGGACACTAAAAGCCCCGAAATCAATTCAAGATAACCTCAAGATCTCAAGATAACCTCCCATTCCAGTCGCAGTAACGCATCTTTCCGGTTCCTACCCCCAGTAATTGTCTCTTTTTCCGGTAGCACCTTACTAACGTCCTCTCTCCCAGGACCCACAATAACTCCTCCTCTCCCAGGACCCTAATAACTCCCCTCGAAAAGCACTCGAAGGGTCGCACCTGAGCCCGATGTGTTCCGTAGATTTACTAACAAAACTAGAGACAAACGTCACTACGGAGGTCTCAAGAAAAAACAAAGACAATCCTAATTATTCCACAGTACTTGTACGCCTATCTGATGTCAGTCACAACTTTAATCACTTTGGTCACAACTTTGGAGGCTTAGAGAGAGAGAGAGAGAGAGAGAGAGAGAGAGAGAGAGAGAGAGAGAGAGAGAGAGAGAGAGAGAGAGAGAGAGAGAGAGAGAGAGAGAGAGAGAGAGAGAGAGAGAGAGAGAGAGAGAGAGAGAGAGAGAGAGAGAGAGAGAGAGAGAGAGAGAGAGAGAGAGAGAGAGAGAGAGAGAGAGAGAGAGAGAGAGAGAGAGAGACCATCTATGTTGCTATCTCAAATCTAATTCAGATAATTTTTGATCCAGATCTTTAACATCTTGTTGTTGCGAACATCACTAGTGCAGGAAGGGCATCGAATCAGCGTCATGGGTCACCCTAGACACGCACCTTTGATATTTTAAAATTTTACCCGGGGTTCACCCAAATCCACTAAGAGTGTACATTCTAATTATATGTATTTGAAGGGAGCGTTTTGAGGAGAACTCCATTAGATGCACCAGAGTGTAAGCAGATTATTTGTAAAAAAATGGATTAGCTACAACTACGGTAGCTAATCCCACTTGCATGCAAGTCGGCGTTCAATTCCCGACCGTTCAAGTCGTTGGACAGCATTTCATTTTACCCCGTCCCATCCCAAATCCATATCCTGACCCCTTCCAAGTGGTATATAGTCATATTGGCTTGGTGCTTCTACTAATAGTTTCCCTCCCTACCAGTTCGGTGCTTTAAAATTACTTATGGATTCGGGTGGATCCCTTGTTAAATAACATTATACCATATCCTGGTGGAATGTGTTAAGGTGCGTGTCTGGGGTGACCCATGATGCCCATCCCACTCAAGAGGTTTAACTCAACAATAGGATGATGTTGATTTTTCTCATAGATATACCACTCTATTGTGATTTCCTAGTGAATCTTGTTATTACGGATTATTCATCTGTTACGGATTGTTATGGATGCTTTAACGAATTATTCTTCAATGAGTTTGTCAAACATGATAAATGTAATCCAGAGAGTTTAGATTTATGCCAGGACTCGGTACACAACAATATTTTGTTAAAGGGACCAGATTCACGAAGCAGTTACTCAAGTACTTACAACGTGTACATCTTTCCTCAATCTTTGGCGGCTTTGTTTACATTTAAACAGTTTACAAGCATGTAAACTTCTCAATCAACTGTTGTTATTGTTATAAACAGCCTCCTGATGCTTCGGAGCTCATTAACTGTTTAATAATTGTGAACAAAGCCGAGAAAAGATTGAGAAAAGATGTACAGGTTCGTAAGTACTTGCGTAACTGCTTTGTGAATCTGGCCCCGGAAAAATGAAACAGGAATTTCCTTAAGTACTTTCGTATATTAATACATCTTCACTCCTTCTGAAGATGTATTAATATACGAAAGTACTTAAGGAAATTCCTGTTTCATTTTTCCTCCGTAGTCCGACATTGTCACATCCCACATATGTATCACTGATAATAATGGTTTCCTGGCAGCCAACGGTCCTACTTGATGCCTTTTGCTACGTGGGTCTTCAAGTTTGAACTTATTGTCTCCCTCTCTCCCGGTTCATTCCCCTTGTAGAGCCTCTTGTCTTCCGGTTACTACCACAGTAGCGCCCCCTCCCTCCCGGTTACTATCACAGTAGCGCCCCCTCCCTCCCAGTCACAACCACAGTAGCGCCCCCCTCCCTCCCAGTCACAACCACAGTAGCGCCCCCTCCCTCCCGGTTACTACCACAGTAGCGCCCCCTCCCTCCCAGTCACAACCACAGTAGCGCCCCCTCCCTCCCAGTCACAACCACAGTAGCGCCCCCTCCCGCCCAGTCACTACCACAGTAGCGCCCCCTCCCTCCCGGTTACTATCACAGTAGCGCCCCCTCCCTCCCGGTCACTACCACAGTAGCGCCCCCTCCCTCCCGGTTACTACCACAGTAGCGCCCCCTCCCTCCCGGTTACTATCACAGTAGCGCCCCCTCCCTCCCGGTTACTACCACAGTAGCGCCCCCTCCCTCCCGGTCACTACCACAGTAGCGCCCCCTCCCTCCCGGTTACTATCACAGTAGCGCCCCCTCCCTCCCGGTTACTACCACAGTAGCGCCCCCTCCCTCCCGGTCACTACCACAGTAGCGCCCCCTCCCTCCCGGTCACTACCACAGTAGCGCCCCCTCCCTCCCAGTCACTACCACAGTAACACTCTTCTGACGGTGTAATCCACAGGTGTCCCGGTGTGTTGATATCGGCAAGTACGCGCTGATTGGGTCGACTCATCGTCGCTGTGTCGACGGTGTTTGGAACGGCGAGAAGCCTGCGTGTTTTGGCCTCAACCAAGAGAACGACTACTCCCGTACGTCTCTGTCTACCTGTCTAATCACGTGGATGTACTCACCTAGATGTGCTTACAGGATCCAGTGGGGCTCCTAGCCCCTCCTTCCGAACGTTCTTAGATTAATGCAATGACTCATTTTTCACGTTTATATCATATTTGCATATCAAAATTTGCATCGAATTAGTTTCAACGACTTCATCGTCAAACCTGTTCCAGGTATTGATAGCTTTAATATTGAAAACGTTCTTTCTAACGTGTCTGTGACTCACTTGCATTTCTAGTTTCCATCTATGACCCCTCGTTCTGCTCTTCCTAGCTTAGAAAAATGCTGCTTTGTCTGCGTTGTCAATTTTCCTTAGAATCTTATGTTATCTTACCCGCCTAACACTTCTTTCCACCGGTGTGGTAAGGTCCAGTTCCCTCAGTGTTTCCTCATAGCTCAATCCCTTCAGCTCAGGAACGAGTTTCTTTGCATGTCTTTGTACGTTTACTAGCTTCTCCTTGTCCTTTTCCAGGTAAGGGTTCCATGCTGAGGATGCATATTCAAGAGTGGGTCTCACCTTCGCTGTATATAGGGCCCGGAAAGCTCTTTTCCAAGTTTCTGAGAGATACACAGACGTTGGCCAGTATGCCATATGCAGCTGTTGTTGTTTTGCTGATGTGGGCTTCAGTCATCAGATTTTGGGGTTAAGTTTACTCCCAGGTCTTTCTCCCTTTCTGATTGAAGAACCCGTCTTCCCTTCATCCTACACTGCTGAACTGCTCTTCGAACTCCTGTTCCAATCCTCATAACTTTGCATTTGGCTAGGTTAACATCTAGCTGCCTTTTTCAGACCACTTCTTTACTGTGTCCAAATCCCTATACCATACATCGCTATTTATCTCTGTTCTGAGTCTTCTCATTAATTTTGCATTTCTACAAACATTGATATGAAGTAGCCAAGTTCCTTTGTCAGGACATATATTAGAAACAGGATGGGGGCCTAGAACCGACCTTTGGGGTATCCACTTGTAACTTCTCTCTACTCTGATGCCTCTGCTCTTACTATAACCCTTTGCTTCCTTCCTGAGAGATACTCTTTGACCCCCCTCAGGACGCTTGCCGATGCAACAGCCTGTCTCTTTAAATTTGAGTAGGAGTCTTTCTTGCAGCAGAATCCTATCAAATGCTTTCTGACAATCGGGGATTATGTAGTCCGCTCATCCTTCTCTCGTATTTGATTTGACATCTTTTAGTAGAACTCCATCAAGTTTATCGACCAGGATTTTCTTTTACTAAAACCGTTTCCATTTTCCCACTAATTTTATGTTTAAAGAAAATTTTGAAAATCTCTGTGGATCATCTGTTTCTCAAGCTTCTGCCGATGTTCTCTTGGTTTGTCTCAACATTTTTGTCTAACATTGATCTCAGTCAACATTCTCTCCTCAAGTTCAGTCCAGTTCTTTAAGTGTGTCTTGAACCCAACTTTTTAAGTGCGTTTCCAACCCAGTTCCTTAAGTGTGACTCCAGCCCAGCTCTTTGAGTGCATTCTCACCACAGCTCCTCTCCTAATATTTCATAATCCAGCTTCTCTTCAAGTATATTGTCAATTCTACTCCTCTTCAAGTATATTGTCAACTCTGCTCTTCTTCAACTGTGTCCAAATCCATCTCAAGAGTCTTTTCGTCCCAGCTCTTCCAGAAATGCAGACTAGTTCAATTTACAATTTCACCTCAAGTACATGCGACATCCAATTCCTTTTCAAGTGCACTCGAAACCGGTCTTCTGCCGCAGTGGACAAGCCGCCCACAATACTCTTCCGTAACGAGCATGGGCCCATGGCGCAGAGCAACGATGGCAAGCTGGTGGTGTACCCTGGCACTGTCCTGCACCTTGAGTGCCTCTTCATGCGGCGACACGGCACTCCCAAGTGGAACGTCTCCCTTGCCAGCTCGTGAGTACCTACACTTCACAGTAACACTTCACAGTAACACTTAACTCCAAGTGGTGCTCACGGCTCGTCACGAGGCATTTACAGCCCTATTCTGAATCTGACCATTCTACTGACCCTGGACTTGAAGCCTCCTTGGCTATCCTACTGACCCTGGACTTGAAGCCTCCTTGGCTATCCTACTGACCATGGACTTGAAGCCTCCTTGGCTATCCTGCTGACCCTAGACTTGAAGCCTCCTTGGCCATTCTACTGACCCTAGACTTGAAGCCTCCTTGGCCATCCTAATGACCCTGGACTTGAAGCCTCCTTGACCATCCTACTGATCCTGGACTTGAAGCCTCCTTGGCCATCCTACTGACCCTGGACTTGAAGCCTCCTTGGTCATCCTACTGACCCTGGACTTGAAGCCTCCTTGGCCATCCTACTGACCCTGGACTTGAAGCCTCCTTGGCCATCCTACTGACCCTGGACTTGAAGCCTCCTTGGCCATCCTACTGACCCTGGACTTGAAGCCTCCTTGGCCATCCTACTGATCCTGGACTTGAAGCCTCCTTGGCCATCCTACTGACCCTGGACTTGAAGCCTCCTTAGCCATCCTACTGACCCTGGTCTTGCACTCAAGAAGTCACAATGTTGATTGGCCCTCCAGAACACAGCCGGAGGCCCTCACCATCAATATTATTTGATGGTGAGAAAATTCACCTTACTCTCTAACACAATAACCTTTCCTCACTAACACAATCCTTCATTCTCCCTATCCTATTAATTCACCCTTTCCAACAATACACTTCTATTCCATACACTCATCTGCACTGACACTTCTCTTATCCACACACTCCAGTGTACGGACACACACACACACACACACACACACACACACACACACACACACACACACACACACACACACGAACACACACACGAACACACACACACACACGAACACACACACGAACACACACACGAACACACACACGAACACACACACACACACACACACACACACACACACACACACACACACACACACACACACACACACACACACACACACACACACACACACTTTCAGTGTGTGCAAAGGGTCAAAGTGTACAAAGGGTCCCAGAACTGACCCCTAAACCATACACACTCCCCTCTCTTGGTGCCTCTCTTTCCACATACTCCATACTGATGGCTCACCTTCACCTCACACTCTCCGTTATATGGCTATCGTCACTTTTTACTCATACACTCATTCTCATACTTAAACTTGTCTCACACACACTCATACTTCAATAGTAATACCCCCTTTTTACTTAGATACTGTTCCATACCAAGACATTTTTTCCTCCTCTATTCATCAATGAATATACTATTCATTATTCATACTGGCATACATCACTTCTCCATTCCGACGCCATCCTAATTCACACGTTCCTCCATACTAACACCCTCCTCAGTCATCCTGATACCCCTCTCATCCATAATAATGATCATACTAACAACCCTGTCACCCAACAACCTCTTGCATACTGACACATCTCCTACGTGACCCTTCATACTGATATATATCTCACCTTTACACTCTATACTAGTCACCCAATTTTCACCTACACACTTCCTCATACTGATATCAAATTCACCCACACACTTCCCCTTATTGACATCCAATTCACAGACACACTGCCCCTTATTGACATCCAATTCACCCACCCACACACTTCCCAATACTGCCACCCTATGTGCCATTTACCACCATAATAACCTAATTAACGCCTCACTAGAGTTCACGATAGCCACAGTAACTACCATAACCTGTTAACTTTATCCCTTAGCAGGCTATGATAATATCCTGCCTTACTATATATATATATGATTATTACTTTATTAATATCGATCCTGTTTTATAAAAACCTCTTGATGTGATAATTTCTTGCCCCCCCCCCCCCCATTCCCTTTTTTAAGTAATTATTTGTTTCAACTTCATTTCCACCATTGATGACTGCCGCTTGTTTCACACAGGCTCCTGCCGGGAAAGAAGAGACGAAGGAAGGGAAGCAAGAAAGGTGGAAAGGGAGGAGGAAAGCCGAAAGCCGTCGGAGGACTAGTGTAAGTGGAAGGGTATTGGGCAGGTGTCAAGAGTTTGGGTTATTGGGCAGGTGTCAAGAGTTTAGGGTATTGGGCAGGTGTCAAGAGTTTGGGTTATTGGGCAGGTGTCAAGAGTTTGGGGTATTGGGCAGGTGTCAAGAGTTTGGGTTATTGGGCAGGTGTCAAGAGTTTGGGTATTGGGCAGGTGTCTAGAGTTTGGGTTATTGGGCAGGTGTCAAGAGTTTGGGTTATTGGGCAGGTGTCAAGAGTTTGGGTATTGGGCAGGTGTCAAGAGTTTGGGTATTGGGCAGGTGTCAAGAGTTTGGGTATTGGGCAGGTGTCAAAAGGGAGCTGGTCGTGTGTCCTCGGGTTAGGGACGGTGCACTCATCTAATATTATTCACCTAATTGTTCTTGCGGGGGTTGAGCTTCGGCTCTTTGGTCCCCCCTCTCAACTGTCAATCAACTGGTGTACAGGTTCCTGAGCCTACTGGGCTCTATCATATCTACATTTGAAACTGTGTATGGCGTCAACCTCCACCACCTCACTTTCTAATGCATTCTAGTTGTTAACTATGACACTGAGAAAGTTCTTTCTAATATCTTTATGACTCATTTGGGTGTTCATTTTCCACTTGTGTCCCCTTTTGCGTGTGAAACCTGTATTAATAATGTGTTTTTATATACCTTATCAGTTCCTCTGGGAATCATGTATGGGTGATCATGTGTACCCAAACCTTCTATCTTCTAGCGATGTGACGATTAGTTCTCGTAGTCTTTCCTCGGATACCATACATATAAGTTAATTAATTAAGGACATTGGCCTGTAGTTCAGTGCTTCTTGTCTGTCACCCTTTTTGTATATTGGTACTACATTAGCTGTCTTCCATATTTCTGGTAGGTCTCCCATCTCTAGTGACCTACTATACACTATGGAGAGTGGCAAACAAAGTGCTTCTGTGCAGTCTTTTAGTACCCATGATGATACTCCGTTCGGTCCAGTAGCGTAGTGGCGGCAGGAAAAGCTGTCCCTGGGAAAATGACTAAGGATATGAGTATGAAAATTAATGAAAATATTTGTGTTAATTTTAATCATTATTACGTTTCGTTTCATATCTGTTGTGGCGAAATTCCTTAATAATAAGCCGGATTCTTGTAGGATATTTTCAAAGATGAAACCTCTGCACCCGTTTTCTAATTTAGTCCCACCAATCACTATTTCATTATTTGTATAAATTAATACTATTAATTTATTGTGTCGAAGGATATAATGAATAAATTATACTATATATATTATATATATATATATATATATATATATATATATATATATATATATATATATATATATATATATATATATATATATATATATATATATATATATATATATATATGCATATATATGCTAAGCAGAGTTAGGAAATAGGCATATTTAGGCTAGATCATCTTGCTAGATCAAAGCAAAATATATTGTTTGACAAAATCAGTGGTTAAGAAAATTAGGTTTGTCAGATTACTGTTGATTAATGCGACATTTATGTCGGTAGAGACACAGATATTAAGTCATACAAGAGCTCCCTCATGGCACACATTAACCGATTGTTCTTTCTCTTCTACCCGCGTCTCTTCGTTCTACCCATTTCTCTTCCCTATTCTAAACCCTCCTCTGTACGTACTTTCCGTCTGTACCATGCACGCCACCTACCTCCCCAATTCTTCCTACGTTTTCCAACATCTCCCTTCCTTCCCCCCTTCAATCCCTCTCCCATGGTATGTACCTTCCCTTTCCACAACCACTATTCCTCCTCCAACACCCTCTCTCTCTCTCTATGTTGCTTTCCCCCTACCTTCAACTGCTTGTTACTCCTCTCCCTCTCGTTTTTCTGCACGCACTATATTCCGGTCTTTTTCCGCTTTGTACCTCTCTTGCCCCGTCTCTTCTCTCTCTCTTCCCTCTGCCTCTGACCACATCAGGCCGTACCCGAACGGGTGGGCGAACGCTCCGGGTCGCAACATGCAGCTGGAGTACAGACTCTCCATCTTCAAGGCCCAGGAGAAGGACTCGGGAGCCTACGCCTGTGTGACGCCCTTCGGTCACAAACACATTGTCAAGGTCGAGATCAAAGGTGAGTTAGTCTCCCTTGGGGCCTTGCTGGCAGGTGTGTGACGACAGGTAATATGCCAGGTGTGGCGACAAATAGGTGTCCGGGTGTAATCACTCATTAGATTCCAAATGGGATATATATATATATATATATATATATATATATATATATATATATATATATATATATATATTTATATATTGTTTTAGATGAACCCGAGATGAATATTTACTTAATTTAGTCTACAATGCAATATTTTTTTATTCTAAACATTCAAGTTAGAAATCTAAATTCAAGTTAGATTTGTTTTCATTTGCCTTTACAGACCTTAATTAATGCCTCTTTGTAGGAGGAAGTCTGGTTAAGTTCTTACTGTGCCAGACCACTTGGATAGTGAGGTCCAGGAACCTCACTATCATCATCTTCACTTAGGCGAATCTTTATAATAGTCGTTCATCTCAACTCATGCAATGATCTATTCACGCATTCATCTTCAGCCATCCACTCACTCATCTAGAGACATTATCTCACTCACACACCCAACCAATTGTTTTTGTCCTCAACAACGACTGACTCAACCAGTACACACCTGACAACTATGTTTTCATCTGTCTCCCTGAATATTTACTCATCCATCCTCCCTCTCCAAAATAGACTCGAATCATAATTCTCCACTCAATTGAAAAATTCACTAATTCATCTAACCATGAAATTGGAATCCTCTCATCCATCTCATCTTTAAACTGATATCCACTCACCCACCCATACCAGAACTAAGAATCCACTCACCCGCCTGCTGTTCGTGCAAGAGCATCCACGCATCCACCACCTCTCCAAAAATGAACCCACTCTCTCCTCCAACAGCCATCCACTGTCCGGACATCGCCACTCTGAACAAGTCGGACGAACTCACCTCACTTCGATACGAACCTCCGGAGGAGACGCGAATGAGCACCGTAGTGACTTTCACGTGTACTCCGGGGTCGTCGTTAGTGGGGGCGCACCAGATTACCTGTCTGCCCTCAGGGAACTGGTCGGCGCCCATACCCCGGTGTGAGAGTAAGTCTAGGGGAGGGAGAGGGAGAGAGAGAGCTGGGGGTGTGTGAGTGAGGGGGATAGGGAGAGGTGGGTGGTGAAAGAAATATATGTTTGAAGGATGAGGTGATGGAGAACTGTGTGGATGAGTGGCGAGGAAGTGGGGGAGTTCTGTCTGTCTGTCTATCTGCCTGTCTGTCTGTCTGTCTGTCTGTCTGTCTGTCTGTCTGTCTGTCTGTCTGTCTGTCTGTCTGTCTGTCTGTCTGTCTCTCTCTCTCTCTCTCTCTCTCTCTCTCTCTCTCTCTCTCTCTCTCTCTCTCTCTCTCTCTCTCTCTTCCCTAATTCTCCAATCTTGTCCTCTAAGTTCCAATCCTTTCCTCCCACCACATCAGTTATAATAACAACCTCACTGGATGTGGTTGAAGTTGTAGTGGAAATTGTGGTTGAAGATGGGGTTGTTTTTAAGGTGGTGGTTGTGATGATGGTGGGCTCTCTGATTGTGGTGGTTGTCTATCACAAAAGTGGTTGTGGATGGGTAGAACTGTGTTAAAGACGCTATGTGTTTACGCTGTGGTAAAGATTCTATAATTCTTCAATCACGATATAGTGTGGTGATGGTGTGGGGAGTGGGGGGGGGGGGGAGGGAACTGGATTTGTGACAGTTGTGTGTAAACAAATTGTGGTTGTAGTGGTTGTTGTGGTTGAAGCGTTTCTGTATTTTAGATACTAAAATACTTCCTTTATATATATATATATATATATATATATATATATATATATATATATATATATATATATATATATATATATATATATATATATATATATATATACCATATTCATCATTATTATAATGTTATATATTTTTAAATGTATTACAATTGCTGACATAATATATTTAAATGGCTTTTAATAAATTTTCTTGGAATTGTTTAATGTTTTAAGAATAGATAAAATAAAGGCAGTAATATTTAACTGATTGTGATTGATGATTGGCAATTATCTTTCAGCTTTAGTTTGCATAATTTTTATGTGGAAATAATTTGCCATCTTTATTACTTCAACATTTTTTAATAATATGTATTATCATTCATATTAATATTATTATTTTTACTATTATTGCTGCTACAGTATTGCTTATGATCATAATACTCTTAAAAATCTTCACTTAATATAATTTAATTAAACAAATTTTTAAAATAAGCTTGATGAGTCTCAGCTTCATGGTATGCCAATCTGTCTACCTTTATGTCTGTCTGTCTGTCTGCCTACCCTGTATGTCTGTCTGTCTACCTGTATGTCTGTCTGTCTACCTGTATGTCTGTCTATCTACCATGTATGTCTTTCAGCATGAGATGTAGAGAACTCCACAATGACGCCTCTCTTGACAAAGTGAATGTATTCTCGCTTGCAATTCTTCTTCTAACAATGCATCTTAATGAATTCTGCAACTACTGCAAAATTAAGTAGTTCCTCTTGCTCAGTTTCTTCTCCGTTTGTCGCACAACATAAATAAACATGTGCTCTGCTTGTTTTATAAATATATATATATATATATATATATATATATATATATATATATATATATATATATATATATATATATATATATATAACTGAAAACTCACACCCCAGAAGTGGATTATATACCATTCACCATTCAGGCTTGTTCGCATATATATATATATATATATATATATATATATATATATATATATATATATATATATATATATATATATATATATTCCTTCCCTTCTTCCCTTCCATCTCCAGCTGTCCCGTCCCGCCTTCCCTTACATCGCCACTACATGTTGTCTTCTAAGTTAGGGATCAAGTTTACAACTTAAGATTGCTTCCTAAAATCAAGATGTTATAAAGTTGTTCAAGTAGACCAAGATGTAATTACAGTGATATATGAGATTGACAGAACATGTAGTTGCCTGAAATTTAGTGTGTTGGGTGCAGTGTATGTAGTGAAAGGAACAGTTTATGCAGTGTAAGGATCGGTTCATGGCGTGGAATTAACAGTGCATGGTATGTAAGTAGCACTGTATACATTGTACGGTTAAGTGTATGGTGTGTAAGGAACAGTTTATGCAGTATAAGGGAACATTACTAAAGTGTAATTAAGAATGTGTGTAATGTAAGAGAGAAGTGTATAGTGTAGAGTTCAGTGTATGCTGTACAATGCACAATGTATGATGTTTATTGATTTGTCTATGCACTGTAAGAAACAGTGAGGGGGGGGGCAGTGTAAGTATCTGTGAATGCAGTGTAAGGAACAGTGTAGTCAGTGTAAGTGAGTGTACACAGTACAAGTCACAGTGTACACAATGAGCATTTCAGTGTATGCAGTGTAGTAAACAGTGTATGGTGCAGTGAATGTACTGCAAGGCACAGTGTAGATGGCATATTGCAAAGTGTAGGGAGTTTGGTACAGATTGTATGCAATTGAAGGATTCAGTGTGTGGAGTGTAATGTACAGTGTACTTAGGGTATTGAGAATACAGTCTAGTGTATAGTGAATGCAAACTAGGGTGATGGGTTTATAAATGTTTCAAATAAATTTTAACAAAGTCACGAATGTTGCAAAAAATGCAAGAAAGGTTGCAGAAAAAAACAGTATTTCAATACAATGTAATCAAGTTAAAAATTTAAAATATATTAAATTACTTGGCCTCAAGAGTAAATGCCAAAATAAACACAAAATGAGTAATTAGTTAATATGACAAAATACATTTAATAATGAAACATCAAATCAAGTTAATAATAACGAACACTTAAGTCAAATTTTGTACTGTCACTCATGGCAGTGATAACTGGTATTCTTGTGTCCTCAATCCTGGCCTCTACACCTGTTGTTCTGACACTTTGCTTACCCCACACTTTATGGCACGACGGTCCTTGCTCAGCGCCTGATACTGTGTCAACCTTTGCTCCTCACTACTGGCTGCTTTGGCACCTCTGACCTGCTTCATCATTGGGCATAATGGCACCTCTGACCTTCACCATTGGGCATAATGGCACCTCTGACCTGCTTCACCATTGGGCATAATGGCACCTCTGACCTGCTTCACCATTGGGCATAATGGCACTTCTGCTCTACTCCCTTACTTGACCCCGGGGCTCAACACAGCACGTTGATGTTCGTGACCTCACTCTGACACTGTACATGTGGGCAGAAGACCCCCCAGAGATCGTTCCGTTGGGTAGTCTCCACAGCAGTGCCACAAGACGCGGCTGATGGCACCTGCTGTGCACCACGAAATATATTGCCTGATGTGAACTATATCAGCTCAATGGGGGGGGGGGGGTGTCATGAGTGAGTGAAACGTGTGCATGACTGGATCGCCTGCGTCAGGGTACTTGTGTCGTGGGGCTTGAGCTTGGTAATTATCTTCCCTCCTCTTTCTCACAGCCTCCTAAAGAAGTGTCACCCTGTCCCTAAGCCCCCCATTGACACGTACAACCAACCCGCCTCCCCCTTAAAACCCCAATAACACTTGGCCCCGCCAAACTCCCATAGTCGCGTATTACCCCCTCTTGCTAACCCCCCCCCCTTCACCCCCACCCCCCCACAGCGTGTGTTTGTGTCTAACCCTCTAATCAAAGCATCTTTCTATCTCTCCCGTTTGATGTTCTCTCATGCATCGTAGCATAAAATCTCAATAATCAACATCTATAAAAAACAAAGACCTTAAATCATAATACACTTTGCAGTAACTGTTCTATGAGAGAAAAAACCAAATCATTACCAAACAGCTTAAGACAACAAGCTGACTATCTATCCACCACCCGTCCCATTTCCCCCTCTTCCCGGCTGCATACCCATGTACTGCCACTAGACATAGAGTGCCCGGACCCGGTCCTGAGATCGAGTAGATCTGCCGCTCGAGTGACGGTTATCCGCCGCGGTGTTGGGGGCCGAGCTGTGTATACCTGCCCGCGGGGACACACCTTGCGGGGCGCTGATCAAGCAGTCTGCCAGGAGAGTGGAGAGTGGTCGTCGCCGCCTCCCACCTGCAAGGGTATGACCGTTCAGTGCCAAGGCCTCGTCAGTGAAGGGGGAAGGCATAAGCCACCCATTTTTGGTGGAGAGGGGGGAGGGGGGGGGGCGCAAGCGCCGGGCCGTGCTCACCTTGACGGCTTCTCATGTCATTGATTCTTGCTTGTGTCTCTCATTGATTCTTGCTTGTGTGTATATATCACTGTTATTTACTTATCTCTTAGGTGTTTTCTGCTGTCTTCTCTCTTCGCTTCCTGCTGTTTGTCTTCAGATGCTTTCGGCTTGCCTCTCCATCCATGTAATCTGCTTGCCTCTCCATCAATGTAATCTGCTTGCCTCTCCATCAATGTACTCTGCTTGCCTCTCCATCCATGTACTCTGCTTGCCTCTCCATCAATGTACTCTGCTTGCCTCTCCATCAATGTACTCTGCTTGCCTCTCCATCAATGTTCTCTGCTTGCCTCTCCATCAATGTAATCTGCTTGCCTCTCCATCAATGTAATCTGCTTGCCTCTCCATCAATGTTCTCTGCTTGCCTCTCCATCCATGTAATCTGCTTGCCTCTCCATCAATGTTCTCTGCTTGCCTCTCCATCCATGTAATCTGCTTGCCTCTCCATCAATGTTCTCTGCTTGCCTCTCCATCAATGTAATCTGCTTGCCTCTCCATCAATGTACTCTGCTTGCCTCTCCATCAATGTACTCTGCTTACCTCTCCATAAATGTACTCTGCTTTCCTCTCCATCAATGTACTCTGCTTGTCTCTCCACCAATGTACTCTGCTTGTCTCTCCATCAATGTACTCTTCTTGTCTCTCCATCAATGTCCTATGTTTGTCTCTCCATCAATGTACTCTGCTTTCCTCTCCATCAATGTACTCTGCTTTCCTCTCCATCAATGTACTCTGCTTGCCTCTCCATCAATGTACCCTTCTTGTCCCTCCATCAATGTCCTATGTTTGTCTCTCCATCAATGTCCTATGTTTGTCTCTCCATCAATGTACTCTGTTTGTCTCT